CATTGGTGTAGAATTATTGTACCAATATTATGGAGCAAACCAATTGACCATTCATGTAGTGGTAAACTTATAAGAACATGTCTCTCATTATTAAATTACGAAGAACAAGCTCTATTAATCCCGTTCAGGATTATCCTTCCAACTTATCCCAAGCCATTATTTGAGTACACGAGTTATACTATGTCTAGTAGCTATTATTTGGAAGATGGAATCGATAAATGGTTTAATGAAAATTATTGTTATAAAAAAGCATATAATCCTGATCATTACTATTATGATGAGCTCGTAAGCACTGTTAATTGTTCTCTAGCTGCAATGCTTCTACGAACATGTAAGAAACTCAACTATTTATGCATTAAAGAGATTATTTATAATATAATACCAAAAAGTCTCTGTGTAAATACAATCGTTACTTCCTTAAAATTTTGTTCTAATTGGTTTAGATGGGAAAATTTTAAACCATTAGCGGAGGCTATTAGCAAAAACACCACTTTAACTTCCTTAATTATTCACAATTATCTTAGTTCTGATGATGTAAAAGCTTTAGCAGAAGCTCTTTGCAAAAACATATCTCTGGTTTCTTTAGAACTTGGAAGTGTTAGTATTGATATTGAAGAAAGCAAAGCATTAGCAACTGTTCTTTGTAAAACTACTACTTTGACTTCTTTAGATCTTGGTGGATGTAGCTTTAGTATTGAAGGAAGCAAAGCAATAGTAACAGCTTTTTATATAAATGCTTCTGTAACTGTTTTAAATCTTTCCAATAGCAAGATTAATTTTGAAGGAGGAAAAATATTAGCAGAGGCACTTTGTAAGAACAGTGCTCTAATTTCTTTGAATCTTAGTTATAATAATATTGGCGCTGAAGGAGGGAAAGCATTTGTGGAAGCACTTCGCAAGAATTCTTCTCTAACTTCATTAAATATTAGTCACAATAATATTGGAATCGAAGGAGGAATGGCATTAGCAGAAACACTTTGCAAGAACACTACTTTAACCTCTTTAAATCTCTATTATAATAATATTGGGATTAAAGGAGGAAAAGCATTAGCAGAGGCACTTTGCAAAAATATTGCTTTAACTTCTTTGGATCTTCAAAAAAATAATATTCTCTTTGAAGGCGCAAATGCATTAGCACGGGCTTTTCATAAGAACACCACCATAACTTCTTTGAATCTTAATGAAAATGAAATCGGTTATGAGGGTGCAAAAGCGCTAACAGAAACTTTTTGCAAGAACATTGTTCTAACCTCATTGTATCTTGGGAATAGTAATATCGATTCTGAGGTAGCAAAAACATTAGCAGAGGCTTTGTGTAAAAACAATACACTAGTTATTCTAAAACTCAGTAATAATAATATTGGCTATGAAGGAGGAAAAGCATTAGCAAATATGCTTTGTAAGAATTCCACCTTAACTTCTTTGTGCCTTTGGAATAACAAACTTGGATCAGAGGGAGTAAAAGCATTATCTGATGCACTTTATATAAATACTACTCTTACTTCTATATCTCTCGACATAAATAATGTTTATACAGAAGGCGCAAAAGCAATAGCACATGCTCTCTGTAAAAACACTGCTCTAACTAAATTAGGTCTTGGCGGTAACATGATTGATTCTAAAGGAGCAAAAGCACTAGCGGAAGTTCTTTATAAGAATACTACATTAACTCGTTTAGACCTTAGCTTTAATAATATTGGTGTTGAAAGAGGAAAAGTATTTGCAGAAGCACTTTATATAAATATGACTCTAACTGATTTAAATCTCCGTAGTACTAATATTGGTATTGAAGGAGGGAAAGCACTAGTGAAAGCTTTTTACAAAAGTAATACTTTGATCTTTTTAAGAATTTTTATTGGCAATGAGTTTAATTCTGAAGATATAGGATTAGAGCGGAGGGATTTACATTATCGGCAATCACTTCTCTTAGCAAATTGACTACCAATTTAGACTTGACTTTAGTGTATAGTTGATAAAAAAAGATTACAGTACTAAAACAAAGGATTGGATGTTAAAAATTAACAGCATTATAATAGATAAATATTAGATTATTTTCTAAATCTATTGTTCATTTTATTGCTAAACATGATGTTTTATAAATCATAAAATATAGTATTAATAAAAATAAAATAATGATTTCTAGACAGTTTTGAGATATAGTAATACTGGGAAAATCTTTACTGGTTAAAATAGCAATACTCAATAAAATGTTACAAATACTGATATATTTTAAACTGTTTTCCTACCCAATCGAAAGGCTCATTATATTGGCATTAGTGTAGTTAAATTTAACATACTATCTTCCAATTGATTTAAAATTAAGGATGCTAGTTCTGATTTATTGAATTTATGCCAACTTGATTTTTTTAATTAAAATTTCTTGCAAGATAATATCAATTGATTTTTAAACCCTTTTTCTTTCTAGTAATATTGATCTATCTTGTATGTCTTCAGAATCAACTTTTTGATACTTGAATTATCTTTCAATGCTTCAATAGTTACAGCCAAATGTAAATTTGTCATACAAGAATCAAAATCCTGATATAAATTTTCATATTTATTTTTAATTTTGTTAGCAAAAATATGTACTACTGTTTGATACCATATTTACAAATGATTTTATTTTATTTGAAGCTTGAATGAATTTACGAAAGCTTTTGTAATATTCCTTATTTTGAAAACCTTCTTCACCATCTCTTTGTAATTTATTTAATGAAGACATGGTGGTTTCAATATTACTAGCGTTTTGACAAAATTCTCTGTTATTTTGTGCGATTTCATATATTTCAACAGGGTCAACAATTCTACTTTAAATCTTTTGGGACAGTGAATTAAAAAAATCGATAATTGAAGCACTTAAAGTAATGTCTCCCCTAGATTTGTCAATATAGGTTGATTATTTCCAATTCTGCTCTAAGACAAGGTACCACCAACTAGCTGTATAAGCAACTTGAGAAATTCCCAAGTAAATAAGCGAGAAAGAGGAGAAAGGAAGTTTAATCGCATTTTATCTACTCTATTACAGTAGATGATATGTAAGCATGTAAGTAAATACTCATTACTAGACTGTTTAAATATATATATATTTATTTATGAACAATCTTCATAATTTGATGTGCCCGATATTATCATTTTTCTTATTTTTATCAATACTCCTTTAGTATAGATTCCTTTAATTGTCACTTTATAAAAAGTATTAAATCATTATGATTATAATTACCCTTCCCCACATATTTATAGTCACCCTTGTCTTTAATTATATTGTAACACCAGCAAAACCTTTAAGGGAACTAACACTTATTACGTAAATATAACCCCCTCCATTTGACAATTACAAGTTCTAAAGTAATCACAGTGTAAACTTTATATTAGTGGTTAGGCGAGACCAACTTGATTTGGTGGTTTACATTACATCCCAAGGGGGAGAAAAATGGAACGTATACATAGTAAATTTTATTAAAATTTTTTTTCAATCAGAAATTATCGGCCTGACCTTGTTCGTCTTTTTTGTTCGGTTATTTTCTCTTCGGAATTTTTCGGTCCCTTACGATTTCTAATTTTAATTCCGCCCGGCAATAGTTCTCTGGCCAAAATAATATATGTATATCCCAAAAATTTTTTTTACTAAGAGAGAGGGAGGTAATGTAAACCACCAAATCAAATTGGTCTAGCATTATGAAAAAATTTGCCACAGCTTACATTTTAATAGACGTTCCAAATTTTCTAAAACTTTCATCGAAGATATCTAAACAACCTAATGAAATTCGGTAAACCTTTTTCTTTATCGAATTCTATGGATTTACAGAATTCAAAGAAAAAAGTTCATCAAATTTCATCGGGTAGTTGTCGAGATATCTTCGATTGTAGTTTTAGAAAATTTTGAAACGTAAATTTGTACATGACTTTTATCGAATGTATCTCGACTACTACCCGATAAAATTCAAATTTATGAATCCATAGAATTCAAATATTTACCTCTCGTCTTTCCTATTACTATATCGTAAAGAAATCTTATCCACTAGTTAAATTTTATTGTGTCTAATTGTGTCACTGAGATATACTGTATCAGTCATTATATGATATAACCTAATGGCGTAAATATTTCTGCGCCTATAATACAGAACTAACAGCAAAGACAGTGCCCGATCCAGAGTGAATCCCTTTCTCCTGTGATCAATCATAAATTAAATTATTTATATTGTGATGGATATAATCCCTCACCAGTTTAAATATATGTGTAACATTAAAGGTCCCTGTTGTTTACAGAACTTCATCATCTCCTTTTTTGCCAATCAGAACACCTGCTGAACTTTATTCCTTATGTACAGATGTGTATCGAATACGTAATGAAAGTTACATAAATTCTTCTGTTTGGTGTAACGAAAGTTACACAAATTCTTCAATCGGACATTTAATGTGTTACAATTTGACTCAGCATCATCACGTGAATGAAACTGATCAATCAGAATCTATTTTGTCTCATAGTGTTTAAATAATATATAGTTATTGGATGCGAGAATTATTTGTAAATGATTCATTTTATCTGGCTGCGTACGTAGCATCCAATAAGTGTACATTATTGGACAGACGACAAAAAATAACAGTCAATTTTTTTTTTTGTCGGAATTAATGTCACTCCATGTGCTGC